TGTGTCCAACCTGTCGGAAGGCTACCCTCTTGCCAAAGCGTTTTGGAAGTTGGACTAGTTTTGGCTCCACAATCCAGTGTGTCGTTACTATTTATAGCTTTCATGTCTGAGGTTGTTAGTACGTCTGTTGGCCCTGGGTTCCCAGTACCAAGTTGCCGAAGTTAGTAAAAATTAATAACTCCAAACTCACTTCAAGGTTCCAGTGCATCTATAGTGTCTGCTTTTATCAAAGCAGTGGTTACCCCGGCAACTGTAGGGTGTGCATAGGTAACCATGGTAACTGTCTTGGCCGTCCTATTCCGATGTACTCCGTGTGTAGACCAGGTGTGCGTTGGTGGTGGGGGTCGATTCACATGGCTTCGACAGTTGTGTAGACAGTTATCTGGCGCTGGTCTTGATCTGTTTCAATCAGAATCAGATCCGCTATGATCGTTGCTACATGTATAAAGAGAAAATCTGGGGGTGCACATGCAGTGCATTTGCAGATTTGCGTGCTTCTCTTGCGACGGGCCATGGTGTTTGTGTGTCACTGTGTGTGTGTGTGTGTGTGTGTGTACGTGTGAAGCACCCAAAGAAGAGGACTGGGGAGAACTACAGTAACTAAAAAAAGACTGCAATCGAAGAGAGAACAAGACGAGAACAAGACTGAACAAGCGCAGCCTTGGGGCATATCCTATCTTACTATGGAGAGAAAAAAGGGGTGCATGCAGCGAGGCAAAATGTGAGCAAGGGCTAAGCGGGAACAGGGTGAGCGGGAAGATAGAGGTCAGCAGTGCGCTAGTGCATGCAGCAAGGGAGGCAAAAGGTCAGCAGGGCAAAGGTCAGCGGGGAGTGCATGAATGGGTGTACGTGTGTACAGGGATATGCAGATATAATGATGGGGTACCGGTATGTGTAATTAATTGATTATTGTGTACAGGAGTGTGGGAATACGGGAACGTGTACGGGGCTAAAAGGCTTAGGGGTTCATACATGTACTGTACTAGTATACTAGTACTAGCAAGAGTACATAACCCCCCAGAGTGTGCAACGCGTTAACGCCGATCCAGCTCTGCATAGGGTCTTGGTCGAGCGGAATCGGATCTTCTGATGTCATGCGTACACTCCACACCAGCGCAAGGCCGGTCTCGAGGCAGGGTACCATTGTTTTTGATCCAAGAGTACCCGCGACTCCCCGGGTTCCTCTCAGATGTGTACGGTATTATGACGCAAAGATCCGATTCCGCTCGACCAAGACCCTATGCAGAGCTGGATCAGGCGTTGCACACTCTGGGGGTTATGTACTCTTGCTATTAGTATCGCATTGTTTGGGTCGAAAAACGTATATAATATGACATAGTTTACAAGACGAAACTCATCGGTAGACAATAGTCTGATGACGCCTGGAACGCCGTACGTGCAAGTTCAGAATCGAACCCCCTGGTCTGTCTACTAACGAGCGTAGACCTGAACCATCTCACAGCACCCGTACGCCCCCCCCCCCCCTCCGTTGACCATGTGATTAAAAAAAAGGTTAGAACTCCGGCCGGAGGCACTTTATTGTGGGGAAATGCCGTTGATGAAAAGTATGAAAAAGGGCAACATGAACACTCTAAAATCAGGATAGCGAGCCTAACAGTAACAACTTCAGAGGCACACTAACTGAACTGTAGTCCTGCTGAATAGTAGGCTGAAAGGAGAAGTGGGGGTAGTAAACACTAAACAGAACCGGGCGAGAATGAAACAAACGCGGGTTCTGGCTCAGATTACGAAGTAAGAACGATGAGGCAAAGCGGACGATGACGCCATGGGAGCATAAAAATGATACGAAAACAAGGAGTACGTGCGAATGATTCAAAAACAAAATGTGAAGCGCCGCTGAGGGACCTCTGTCCACTTCACGAGGAGCCAAAGCACATGTGCAGACCTCCGTACGCTCGCGCGCACTCGCATGCAACACTCACGCGCAACACTCGCGCGCACGCGAGCGAGCCCTCGCCCCCAAGTCTACACAGGGAAAGGAGACGAGGATCTATCGGCGACGTGCGGGGCACGGCGGCAATGCAGAATTCCATTCGAGCGGGGCGCCGTGTGAGGCCGTATGTAGCCGGCAGCTAGGTTATTGGCTATGTGTCACAGTGAGCTAGGTCACAATTGGCTTGCTTCAAGCGGCCGGCTGCTAAGTGGGTGAGCCAAGTCAGCTCGTGGAAACGTGTACTGTGCGCTTACGGCGCTACATACATCGAGCCGAACGAGCAGGGAACCCGTTAGAGCGGTCAGCTGCCAGAGTATGATGGCAGCGGTGCACACACACACACACACACACATACACACACACACACACACACACACACACATATGATAACGTCGTCGCCAGCACTGATATCGGGCAACTTCCAACTAAGAGTGGCAACGTGCACATCCACACCCTACACCGACACACGTGTGCATATACACACACGCGCGCGTACGCACAACACACATTCATGACATCTACAACAGCAGCAGCACACTCCACGGCTCCCAGTCCTATGGGCAAGGTAAGGGTGTGGCTGGGCTCGCACGACACGCTGTACGTCACGGGTAGCAATTGCGCGCTCGCTCGCACGGCTCAGGGAAGCTGCATTGAACTCGCCATGGCCGTGGGCAGCGGCTGGGTGGCAAGCCGTGCCAGGTGCACTCGAAGCTGCCGCAGCTCCTGCGCCACCGCCTCCCACATCATCTCGGCGCGGATACGCTGCGAGGAGACCTGCTGGCACAGCTCGTGCTCCTTGTGCAGGCGCTCGTGCAGCGCGGACAGCGCCTTCTTGTAGTGCTGCACTTGATCCGTCAGCTCCAGGCCGGCCGGCGCGTGCATTGAGGACAGCGGCTCGATGGAGTTCTCGGTGACGTCCGTCTGACTGCCGCTCGGCGAGTACACCTTCTTGCAGGCACCCGGCGGAAAGCGACACGCATTGTCCACGCCGGGCGTCGTTACTGTACACGATTCGTCTGAAGCAGGACCGGCGGCCGTGTCCGGTGTCCGCCGCACACTGCCGTTCGGAGTGCTCTCGTTCGTGACCGGCGTGCCAACCTGACTCGGTGCCCGTAGGGACTGGGCAAGCGGCTGCATGACGCTCTTCGATCGAAACACTCGGTCTTCGTCATCGCTGGCAATGGGCGATGCAGTCTGGAAACGATGGGCGTCGTCGTCGTTGCTGCTGATCTTTGCCGGTGACGACGTGACGGCAACTGCCGATGGAGAGAGTTTATCGTTGCTGCTGCTGCCGCTATTGCTGTTAGGGGTGCTGCTGCTTCCGTTGGTGGTGGCCGCAGATGTTGACACAGCGAGCGACTTGGCATCGATATCGCCATTCTCCGCGACGGTGTGGTCGGCCAATGACTTGGAAGTCACGATGCTACGTGGCCGCTCTCTTTTCTTGTCTGCCGACAGGAACATGAAATAAGGAGAAATACCAAACTTTAGTCATTGCTTTTCTGTGGCTGTTGTCTCCGTTGATTAGAAAGAAATCACAAGAAATGTCGGCCTATATGTTCCGTAAAACCACTCCTTCTAAAGAAGTAGAGAAATTTTAAATGTAAAGATCGAAAACTTGGACGAAAGAATCTTGCATGTGTCCTCTGGCAAATTTGACCGTACACAGCGCAAAGTGAATGGTGCCCTGGAAGTTGAAATAGGTGATGGAATTCAAGCACGCCTCGTGCTGTCATGAAATAGATCGTTTGCCCCACACACGGTGCAGGGCGGCAAGCCTGGGGCAATCTTTTGAGGAATTGACTGCCAATTTGTTGGGCACGGAACATGCGAACGTTCACACACCAGTTTCTGTCGGCGAACTGAGAAATGCATACGCAAAATGCACGTAGCCAGCCAGTCCTCCGTGGTGCACGTCTGATTATACCACGCAGGCAGAATTAACAGTCGGTCAATAACTTCATCCAACTCCAAAGAAAGGGAGTTCGTCCAGTTGCAAATGTCATCCATGGATCATAGGAGTGTATTGAAAAACAGGCCAAATCGACATCATTCGCATTTAATTAATTTAGTCGCAAAACCCCTTGGACGAAAAGGACGAAATTAAATTTGACTTGGAGACGACTATTTCTGCTTATACAGTATCTATCGTGTGCAACTGAACATAAACTAAATGAGAACAGGAACAAGACTGCGCACAAAACGGCACCGAGCACGGGAAAGCATCATGTTGCTCACCTCTAACATCTACGGATTCGTCCGACTGCTCATGGTCAGGCGATAGCTCCTTCTCGATGGTTGTGAGCGATCCTCGAGTTGCCTTGCGCTTTCGGCTGCAGCACGTCAACAAACAACAGAGCCAGTGTTTCAGATCTTTACTTAAGCAATGCCATTGTTTTTGTCGTTGTTGTTGTTCATACCGTATGTCCGCACCTTTAAAGCCAGTCTCAGTTATAAAGCCATGGACCTCATATGAAATTATATTTGAAGTATGTTTTGTAAAAATGAAGGAATCTGTACTATATATACTAAACAAACTTACAGCCCAGGAGGAAGGATGAACAAGTGGATTTAGATTGAAATTTCTATGTGGACTTTGACTTTTATGGCATAGTGGGCGAGTCATTTTGCATCTAAAAAAATGCTCATGCCAAAAAAGCACACAAAATTCTAAACTTTTTCCAAACCTTTTCTAAACCGAACGAACTTAGAAGTTGCGACTTCGGCGGTAATATTCATGAAGTTGGTTGCTCCAACGAGGAGCACACGCTGATGAGGGGTGAATTCCCCGAAACACTGTGTATTGAGCAGGGAGTGGTGCTTTCTTGCAGGTTTGCCGAGTGGAAGGTGCGACGTGCTCCTCGTGTGCTCTGGATGGCAGTCGTGAGTCAGTCAAGTGTCAAGTTCGGCAAGAAGCGTGTGCTCCTCGTTGGAGCAACCAACTTCATGAATATTACCGCCGAAGTCGCAACTTCTAAGTTCGTATTGTTGTCCCTCACGCGGACTTGCGACTAGTTGTTGGAGGTGACAGCGTTGTGAATAGCTATACTGGCTCTCAACGTCTGTTTAGCACAACTCCATGAGCGACTCTGACTCACGCTGCTGCCTGGGGCTTCACGAGGTATTTGTCGCGCTGGAAACAAAGTGTCTCTGTAAGTTTGTATCCCTGGTGATGGTTTGGCCTGGAGAGCAGTATATAAGTGGTGCTTTTCAGGCACTATCTTCCTCAGCCTACTCAAGCTAAACTGATGAGGGGTGAATTCCCCGAAACACTGTGTATTGAGCAGGGAGTGGTGCTTTCTTTCAGGTTTGCCGAGCGGAAGGTGCGACGTGCTCCTCGTGTGCTCCGGATGGCAGTCGTGAGTCAGTCAAGTGTCAAGTTCGGCAAGAAGCGTGTGCTCCTCGTTGGAGCAACCAACTTTTCTAAACCTATTTCAAGAATTTCCAAACCCACAAGCGGCAGTTTTGGTTTGAATGTGATGGTAATCAAGTCAGTTGGTTGCAAGCCAGCGACTAGTAGCAGCAAGAGTACATAACCCCCAAGAGTGTGCAACTGCCTGCACAACATCTATGCTGTGCTGCGACGGCAGAACTTCACATCACGTGACATGGTTCAAAAGGTTATGCTGGCAAACAGTGCAAAGTGACCACAAGAGAGTTGTACCCCAAGGTGGGTTGCGTACAACCCTGTATCTATCATACACCGAGTGCAAATAATGTATACAGGTTCATCACGTGATGTGAAGTTCTGCCGTCGCAGACCCCATAGCTGGAGTTGCACACTCTTGGGGGTTATGTACTCTTGGTAGCAGTCACTACCACCACCGTAAAAGCCCCCTGTATACGCCTACTCGAAATTACGCCCAGTCAGGGGAAGTCAACACTTTCGTTTCGAAATAGCGCCCATGCCCATGTATACGCCCAGGTATGCCGGAAACACCAGTTCATGTACAGGTACTGATACCCAATACTTACTGCTATCCCTATTCCCAGTATACGCCCGGTTCCAAAATAACGCCTGTGCCCTTGTATACGCCCAGGAAATCGAGGCTGCTATTCTATACGCCCGGGGCCTATACACGGGCTTTTACGGTATAATATATGTTACACTCAGTAGTCCACCAGCTCTCTATATGTGTTCACTCCTCTACATGTATATGTCATCACCCGTTTACTTCGTGCCTATATGGCTTCACTGCAACTTTCTCTATTATAACTCCAGGTCATACTCGCGACACACCGTAGTGTGCCTATCTCGTATAGAAGGCTATCTCGTATTGAAGCCTGTTTTGAATAGAAGCCTGATTTTTCAAGATACATTTTCGGCACATAAGCCTGGTTTTAGTGTTGACACACATAGAAATACCTGGTTCGAATAGAAGCCTAGCCTTCACACCAGCTTCTACAGGAATACCGTTGTGTCTTGTATTAAAGCCTATCTCGAATAGAAGCCTGTTTTGAATAGAAGCCTGATTTTTCAAGATACATTGTCGGCACATAAGCCTGGTTTTAGTGTTGACACACATAGAAATACCTGGTTTGAATAGAAGCCTGATGTGAATATAAGCCTAGCCTTGACATCAGCTTCTACAAGAATAAGCCTGACTTTAAAGGGGCACTCCGGGAATTTTTTCGGTGGTGTGTTCTCTTCATGGGGGCCTTATATGGCCCCCAAGGAATGGGGAATCGCGAAAACTAGACCCAAAAAGTCGATATATGAAGCCAGGGAGGGCCAAGTTTGTCTCCTATTTTGATGGTTTTGATGACGTCACGTGTGATTAGTATTCAAATTCTCTGCATTTGAAGATCTTAGTTGTTTGAATTTTCTGGTGATGAAGAACGATGTTTGGTCAACATTCCCAAGCTTCACAACTGCGACCATACTCTAAGGAACCTGAAGGACCTCCTGAGGTGCCCCTGGTAGAAGCCCAGCCTAATGAGGGCCAGGAAATTGGAGCGGACGACTTCACTGGTCGACAAGGAAATAACGATTGGTGTTCCTGCCAGAAATGTGGGGTGATGCAGAGGGCAGTCGATTACCTTCGCTGTCGAGAGAGCGCTGCAGCTGTAAGCATTGACAGCCCTTTGACATGCGTTACACATCACCCCGACTTCGCGTCAGCTTGTCTAAACAAAACTATTCTGACCATATGCCTCGCGACATATAGAGAATTTCGGGATCCTCGTACTCGGACCAGTGAAGTCGTCCGCTCCAATCTCCTGGCCCTCATCAGGATCCTCGTACTCGGACCAGTGAAGTCGTCCGCTCCAATCTCCTGGCCCTCATCAGGCTGCGCTTCCACCAGGGGCAACTCAGGGGGTCCTTCAGGTTCCTTAGAGTATTTCCGCAGTTGTGAAGCTTGGGAATGTCGACCAAACATCGTTCTTCATCACCAGAAAATTCAAACAACTAAGATCTTCAAATGCAGAGAATTTGAATACTAATCACACGTGACGTCATCAAAACCATCAAAAGAGGAGACAAACTTGGCCCTCCCTGGCTTCATATATCGACTTTTTGGGTCTAGTTTTCGCGATTCCCCATTCCTTGGGGGCCATATAAGGCCCCCATGAAGAGAACACACCACCGAAAAAATTCCCGGAGTGCCCCTTTAATACGCGCCATTACAGTATGTACTGTAAGACATGTTATTATAACCGTAAACGAGTCGCAAATTTAACGATTGTCCGAGACGATATGTTGACGATCTTGCAGTATTCCGGTATATCCACACACAACATAATATGAAGCATTACAGCCTCAAAGAATCTTAGGGTGCGTTCTTATATTCTCTAGCTTCTAGAAGAAGAAGAAATGAGAAGTCGAAGAAACTGGGATTACTCAAGAACGGGTCTCGAAGAATTCGGAGATATTTTGCACATGTCAAGCAAAATGAAGCGCCAAAGGGGCCGCGATCTTGAGTGATGAATGTAGTAATGCACGTGTGCGTATGCGAAAAGGGAAATGCGTACACTAATGATGAACACGTGCCTTTTAGTCGTAGTTCGCATGCGCTGATCCCAAACCGCGGGAATCTCCAAGTTTCAACCACCTCTGAAGCTTGGAGAGCTTGGAGAGCTTTGGAGAGCCTCCTAAAAGTCGGAGAGGATATAAGAACAGCTCTCGAACTTTTCGGAGAGTCTCCAACTTTTCCGAGAGGATTTAAGAACGCACCCTTAATATAACGAAGAAATGTCGATCGTTAAAACGTTAGATTTACTTCCTCGTTATATACAGTGTTGCCAAACCGTCCGATTTTTCGGACAGTGTCCGATTTTTGAAGGCTCTTCCGAAAACCGGTCCGAAAAAGGAAACGTCCGAAAAGCAGCCAAAAATGCCAGAGATCAGTACTTTCCTATGCAGAAGTCCTGTATTTTCACTTTTCAGCATGCAAATCACTGCACATGTTCATGTACATGTCACATGTGCTTCAAAAAAGGCTTGCGCTTGGCGGTGGAAGTGCAAGTAACAATTTTACATGCCTGGACGGCATGTACACTGTACAGCGTGTGACCACACCAATGCATCACAAAATTCATGACAACTTCGGGGTGCAATATCGGTTACCATGGCAACGAAGCGAATTTTCATGGTATTTTGGGCGATATTTTGAATTCTCTGGAAAAATTGCTGAGGAGAAAAATTCGCGCCATGTGGCCAGCCTTGACGGTGAAATTTGTCCGATTTTCGGCGAAAATTATTTGGCAGCACTGTATATACATGGCTTACAGTACTCCAAATCTACCTGTTCACCATCTGATCCGACAGTGATGCTACTTGGTGGTGCCAAACGCTGACAGAAAGAAGAAACTGGTGATAGTACTACAGTACTACAACTCACCTGCCAGTGACGGCTGGTGCTTGCCACGGCGACATGGCGTAGGAGTACGCACCGGCAGCTGCCATGCCGACCGGAACGTGCGGATGCTCGGCCGTCGTGGCGGACGCCGCTGACGGGGAGTAGCTCATGCCCGGCGGAACCATGTTGTCCGGTGGCGCTCCAGTGGAGGATGAAGAGAGCATCAGCGAGCGCGGGTTGTAGTACGTCTGGTACGGATTTGGCGCGTGCATGGGTATGCCGTGGCCAGCCATGCCATGATGGTACTGGTACATAGCCTGCTGACCCTGCTACAGAAAAGAGAGAGAGAGAGAGAGAGAGAGAGAGAGAGAGAGAGAGAGGGGAGGGAGGGGGAGAGAGAGAGAGAGAGAGAGGGGGGGGGAGGGGGAGAGAGAGAGAGAGAGAGAGAGAGAGAGAGAGAGAGAGAGAGAGAGAGAGAGAGAGAGAGAGAGAGAGAGGGGGGGGGGAGGGAGAGAGGGAGGGAGGGAGAGAAAGAGAGAGGGGGAGGGAGGGAGAGAAAGAGAGAGAGAGAGAGAGAGGGGGGGGGGGAGGGAGAGAGAGTGAGAGAGAGAGAGAAGGGAAGACGGAAAGGGAGAAATAAAGATGATGCGCTGGTCACCATAACGAACCAGTAACTATGACAAAGGCATACGGGCCACACACATGCATAATGGGTATATTTCAAGACTACGACACATGCTCCGCTAACAGAACTTCGCCAACACATGTGCAAATCAGCAAAACATCTAGGCCGCTCTCTTCACAGGTATTGACAGAAACCAACCAACGAAAATCCATAAACCATTTTAAAAATTTTAAACGGCGTTTTAGATATGTGCCAACAACAGTTACAACCAGTCCTGCAGGGATCTGTGCCACTCACAGATGGACAGGTAACCAATGTGCAAACTGCATTGGCAGTGTGAGCGCTTCTCCCTGAATCCGCGGACCCCACACTCACCTGGCGCATCACTGGTCGGTAGGTAAAGCGAGTATCGTGCATAGCGGTCATTCTGCAAGCACGCAATCCACAAACAAGTACGATAAGGTAAACAGAACGCCGCGGAAGAGATACGCTGCAAACCTCTCTAGCAGCACAAAGAGGTTCACCGGTAGCAAGGCGCAAAAGGAATGGTACTACACATACCAAGAACCCATAACTCTCCCAGAGTGTGTAGTTGTACATCGCCATTTGCATCAGGATTGCCAGAATGTACACAAGTACAGTAATGCTAGGTGATATCCTGAACCATGCAACGTGCATATTTGGCACCACCCTGGACTTTGAAGAAGACCCTTGACAACCAGGAATGCTGCCAGACGTACACATGCACAAAGAGAGCGATGTATTCGTAACTGGTCCGGGGCACCAGCTTTGTACGTCTGGGTAATAATTGCACCTGCCCACACATATGTCAGGAGTACAGGGCAGTGTGTAGCCATACACACAAATGAGTGCAAACATGGGCAATTATGGCAATCACACATTTGACAGCAAAGTTGTACAACGCACGTGTGAAAAGTTGTACAACATCCCAGTGTACATGATGACAGCAAGTTTTGATATAGCTACCATACACTCTCCGTCATACACACTTGCTGTTATGGCAAACCAAGGTCAGTCAGGTTACAGCATTTTCACTGTATGAATGCTACTGAAGAAAGAAATGACTACCTACCAGGACCTTCGCCACAGGCCAGCCCAAATGGGCCATTCGGCATTATCGATAATTTTCACGAAACAAAAAAAGTTTAGTTATGACCACCCTCCTGAACGAAAAAATATATTGACTTGACAGATAGGATGGATTGATGTTTCAGCTATCAATATTTTTCATAGCGAAACTCTCCTCGGGCCACCCATCCATAAACAAAACTTTTTCGTTTTGTTTAAAAGATTGATAATTATGGACAATCAAGGCCATCCGGCATTATCGATAATTTTCACGAAACGAAAAGGTTTAGTTATGACCCTCCCCCACCCACCCACGCCCATCAACGAAAAATAGATTGACTTGACAGCTAGAATGGATTGATGTTTCAGCTATCAATAATTTTCAAAACGAAACTCTCCTCGACCCACCCACCCACCCATAAACGAAACTTTTACGTTTTGTTTAAAAGATTACGGACGGCCCCTAACCGTCTTCAACCCAGCAGAGATAGCTCAACACCCTTTTTTCTTCTTTTTTTCTTCACCTCGAAACACATTAATTTTTACATCCATTCCTGTTTCCAACCAAAAACCACTGGAAGTCGCACCTAACCCACACTGCACACTATGTTGCTTGTTCCAGGTTGCTAACTGCTAGTTGGCACATGTAAGAATTGTTTGCAGTCTGTGGTCCTCCTAACGCCTCCCATCTCTGTGCATCCAAACATATACTGTATTTTCGGAAATTAGCGCCGGTCTTTTATTGCCACCCGTCTGAAATACACGTCACAGTAATTCAGGGCTTTTGTGTGGACTTTTCAAATTGGGTGAAATTTTAGGGCTCACAAACTACTAAGTGCCGCAGCCAGTATTACTTCGCATGTATGTGTGTAGTCTGTGCATCTTCCATTCTTTCCTGTCATGTGTCACAGATACCCATCCATTATACTGGTGGGAAATGCAGGCTGCAGCATGCAGTCAATGGACCCCCCCCCCCCCAACACACACACACACGCAGGAGGGGAGCTCCCCTTTTGACTTGTACAGTAAAACTCCCCAGATCCGGGCAGGTTGGGACCAAGCACTGCCCGTAACTAGGAATTGCCCGTGTACGCGTAACTCAGAACGCGCATACATGTACTTACCAGCATGCAAGTAAACATTTTTTTCTCAATCAATAATTGTTGGGACCGCTTTTAACTTTTTCCTTGAAAAGCCAATTTTTGTGACTCCAGATGGGACGTGAACGGTGCCGAGGTAGACGGGCGTGCCCGAATTAGGGGCGGCTGTATCTGGGTTTTTTTTTACTGTACTGCCAGACCTTGTCGGAACTCAAACAGTGGTCAGTGACAGGGCAACACAAAAAGAAACACCGGGGTACTCCACCAGAAACAGATAATTTATAATTACGCACGAATTTGGATACGACGTAGAGCGTAGGTAGAGCGTAGGAGGGTCGTTTCGAATAATATACTCGGAAGAGGAGACGACCAATGCCAGCGTTTGAAGGGAGAATCATTCTGTCCATCGGCTACGTGTGTGTGTGAACATCACCAGTCCGTCACGGTTCATCGAACTTGGCGCGCCAACTTGGCGCGCCAACAACAGAGTACGCGTGGCAACGGGTGAAAAATTGAAATGCGACAATTGAAAATGGGGCAAATTGAAAATGGCCAAAAACAACAACAGTATTCGGAAAAGACACATGCATTGTATATTGCTGGCATGGCCTGAACGACAACGGTGCAGTTGCATGGCTTACCTCGGAGCGATTGGGATAAGGTGGTCAGATGAGGAACTCAGCTTTCCATTCTGCGCTCTTGAGTATGGGCTATCTTTCTCAGCTCCCCTACTCGCAGTACAAACTAATGCCGGACGACTGCCGGTACTTTCTTTTCTACCCGGCATTTCTGCTGTTTCGGAGAGGAAGACAGAGAGGATCAGACTTGCTGGGTTCCTCCAAAGAAGAAAGTAGAAAGTGACGAGGAAAGCAAGCATGAAGAGACTGTTGCCCGCCAAGACAACGTACATTGCGACGTACCTGTACACACCCTGATACGGTTCTGCTGTATTTGTATACGGAGCGTAGGTGGTCTTTACCGGATTTTGCCCAAATCTTTCACTTGTCCCGCGTGCGCCTGTACGCGTCCAGCCTTTTCCGAATGCGGAATTTAATAGTGTGTCGCACTGTTGATGTACGCATGGCGCTTGAACTTGTACGCACTCTTTCTTGCAGGGGTGCACCAAGGTCACGGCTGGTGCAAGAAATGCGTGGGTGTCATGCACAATGCTTCCTTTCGGCATCCGGTGCTAGCAAGGCGCTCAACCCTTTGGCCTAGGGTGTGGCAGACCGCCAAAATCTGAAAAAAGAACTTGGCAAGGCTGGAAAGACCGCCTGCAAAGTGTTGAAGGGAGAAGATAGAGCCTAAGGTCAAACTACTAGTCGCTGGCGCCCGCCGAATCTCCGTGGGTCCAGTTCTCGCCCGAATTCCGCCACCATGAACCAATGCGAGCTTTCCCTTTTTTCCAAGGAGCAAAACAAGCAACCAGCTACGGCTGTACAGTATCGATGGGACTAGCTGTGAGTGGCCAGAATGCTTATTTGGGTGCTTCTAAAGATTCCATGACTTGAAAGAGATACAAGTTGGGACATCACAAGGGCCATTTTGTCACTTGATGGGGCAAAGAGCAAAATGCTGAGATCGTAAAACAGGACTTCAACTGAAGACGGGAATCGATATGGTGGCGTGCGCTTGAGAGGTCACGATCTCGCCAGCCTAAAAGTCGTAGCGGAACTCCCCGACGGGATAGCGGCGGCGAGTTCGTCGTGAGCTGCAGTCTCCTTTTCAAATCCATGTCTTTTGACTCGCATACTGTACTGTAGTAGCTCATGTGGGAGCTGGTTTCTCCTCTGTCATGCGTGTCACCAAGAGTCCATGGGTTATGGACTCTTGGTGTCACTCATTCCAGACCCAATACAGCAAAACTCCCCACATCCGGGCGTCCCTATTCCTATGGGCCGTGCACCTCCATCTACCGGGCGCGGGCGGGCACCTTTCTGACCCATCTATCATCACAAGGCATTTCCAACGAAATAACGGCCCCAAAAACTATTGATCGGCATTACATCGATGTTTACTTGGCGCGTTCAGGAAGTAAGTATGCATGTTCTGAGTTACGGGCAGTCCTCCATACCAACCTGCCCTGATCTGGGGGAGTTCTACCGTGCTGGCAAGCGGACAGTATGGTATGCTTCGTTGATGCACAATGCACACTGCTCTGAGCACTACCAAGGCTAGCACCCCCGGTGCGCAAGCACGAGCACGAGCACTACGAACACAACACTGCGCTGCATGTGCGATCGTGAACGTGCCTCTGCTTTGGGCCGTCGGATTCTAGTGTTCATGTCTCATCATTCTCATTCACCCTGTATCGTTGCTGGTATGTGCCCAGCGCGCCCAGGAGTAGAAAATAGAACTAAATACGGATATCCCTGATGAGTGATGATGCCCTCCTGGGTGAAAATTTGGACAATATCAACTGTACGTAGTGTAGCCAAGGACTGTTAGTGTGTTGCGAGTTGGGTATACTGAAAATATGACAATGCTACAGTGGAGTTTCAAAGTTCTAAATATATTCCATGCTAAGAACACCGTGTACAGCAGAGTCGCGCGCCCAAGAACATTGTTTCCCTGGCTAGGGGTGCCTGGGACGTTCTTCTTCTTCAGCAATCTGGCTGTACGAGCTACTACCACAATTTAGGGTTCCTGAGCCTAGCGAGTACTATACTGTTTGTGCTAGCCATGACGTTGATAGTTGTTCCCCCGTTTTGAGAACCCCGGAACCAGTTCAGTAGATATCCGAGAAGAAGATACGTTGCATTCACTAGGCCAGGGCCTAGCCTAGCGCCTAGGGACTGCCTGCTTGCATTTTGCACCCACCGTGACTTGAGTGCGAGCACCGCATTTCATGCAGATGTCACGGAAACAGCTCCTTTTTTTGTAGATCTCGGTAGAAAGTAGAAATTCATTCTGGAACCCTACAGTCATATTGTGGCGTTTCGAATTCCCCCCGTCACTGGCGCGGCCGCTCCCGTCTCGTGCTATTGTCCCGCAATTTCGATGGGTACGCGCCCGTATACGCCGCCGCCATTCTTTCAGAGAACGATGATGCTACATGAACCGGCCAAAAGTTCATAACCCCAGAGTACAATAATCCCAGAGTACATAACCCCATACTACAGTACATAACCCTCTGGTGCATACTAGTAACCCCAAGACCATGCAACTCGTGTAATGGTTTCTGGCGCGCGGCGTGCTGCCCAGGAACAGGTGTAGTAGCTGAGCAACAGGTGAGCAAAGAAAGAGATAAAGATACAGTAGGGCAGAGCTCATTATTTTGACGACTCCCTGCCCTGGCCATCACTGACCAGCTACGGTTTCAGGTTCCATAGCTTCCGCTTTTCTCGGAGACTTCGAGTGGTTTTATAGTGACGCGTCGCGCACAGGCATTTCCATTGAACCAAGAGTACATACCGGTAAACCGCTTATGTACTTTTTTCTATGTTTCGCGTCACCTTGTTCCATGAAATGTTCAGGGCAAAATTAATATTCAGGCGACAGCGTCGTACCGCTCTCAGTTTCGCCCAAAACGATTATGAAAATATGAGAGTTCATTCTTGTAGGCAAAGAAGACAGAACATTACTACACGAGTTCCCTTCGGGAACGGACACGATAATAATATTACTTTACTTTTACTTTACTACACTGTATTGCAATTGAGAGCGTATACTGGAAGGCCATAAGAGGTGATAATTTAGGGCAAAATGAAGAAAAGAAAATGATAACACCCAAAAGCGCTCAAAACAACCGTTTATGTACTCGTACGTACGTATACTCTTGGTTGAACTATTACTGTTATGGCATCATGTGAGTTGGGTATGAGAACATAGTAAAAAATAAAATTAAAAATTGCCTGAAATCCTTGCGTTATGTACATGTACGTGTACGTTAAAACCGAGTCCAAGACTTGGTCATCATTTCACTACTACAGTTTCTCTACTTCCTTAGCCTTCAGGTCCAGTTCCGCCTCGGCACGGTGTAGGCACAGCTTCCGCACCTTGTGTTGAATTCGGTTACGTTTGGTTTTGAGAGATTCTCTCTTCTTGTCGCCAGTGGCAGAGTATGGTGGAGCATTAGAAAGGAAAAAAACGAGCATTTTGTGAGATACGAGCGGCATGTGGACTTTCATAGTGGATAATATCGGGAAATCCCCTGCTTTTTGGCAACAATCGGCTACAAAAGGTACTGTAGGTGCAACCCTCCTCGTGTTACCAGGTAACTGGATCGTGGATCCCTTTGTGTAGACACTTACCACTTTTTAGCGCCTGTACTGATGTAGCTACTAACTACATCGTACATGACTGTATTGTAGTCAGAAGGGGGGTGGGGGGATGAAGCGTGTTCGATTTTTCGCCAACGCGTTTTTCATAGGCACGCCTCTTCTCTGCCTCATTCTTCCTGTAGGTTGCCGCTATGGATTGCTGCCGGTTGGAACAGGCGTGAGGTTTGAACACCCGGATGTCCAGGATTGGCCGTTCGAAATGGCCACCCCAGATTGCATCCAATACAGCCACATCCAGGCGGGCATTATCCTCTGGCAGTCTGGGATGGCGGAGCAATGACGCAAGGTTGAAGATGCGGCTTGATAGTTTCATGTTTCTGTTACCACCAGAACATACCTTTTGAGTCGATTATAAAGCTATTCTTGTCAAAACCACTACCGAAAAAGAAGAAAAAAAGTTTTCACCGGGGAGGGTAGTAGTAGTAGTAGTAGTAGAATTTATTATTTTGGTCGAACCCGAAAGGGCCAAAAAGTCAAAATATTTCTACTCCAAACCTGCGCAGAAGGATGCTCAAAGGACTAGTTTTCGATTTACATGTACATGTAGGTACGAGCCACATGTATTATGATTATACTTCAAAAGTAATAGTTTTTCAGGTTTAATAGTTGCTTTCCTGCCTGCCTGCCTTCACTTGATGAATTGAGGAGAAGGCAATGAAAGATATGTAACCCCGGGGTTATTCAATCTCTGGGCGGGGTTACCCCGCCGCTATGTACTCTCGTATACTCGTGATCGTATGCACAGTACTCGAACGCATCCAAAATGAAAGGGCCTTCAAGGTCGACATTGTGCGTATTTTGCATCCATTTTGGTTCCAAAAAGAGTACCAACCATGAAGCATGGGACCCTGCCCTCGCCTCGACGAGTCGAGTGCGTATCGGTACACCAGTCCATGGTGCACACCGTATCATCGGCACATCGCGCGACGATCTCCACAGTACATGACGTATCATCGGGGAGTGGCCCGGGCGCGCCCCGATCTACGGTTTTGGCGCCGATCCGATCGGTACACTCGACTCGCATGATCGCATCTCCGGATGCTGGATGGATCACGGGTACGCGGGTGTCAGGAGAGATCTACGAGAAAGCGTACAGCATAGCAGCATAATAATAGTGCAGTATATTATACTGCAAAGTACAGCTGTACCGTAGTGCTGTAGCAGGTAGCCGCGCCCGTGGCCCGCGCATTTCGTTCTCGTACGAAACGGTGTCAGTGAGCTATACGCGCCACAATCTCTATACGCGCCATACCGGTAATTGCCTACGCCTAGGCTACTGTTGGTACGAGAATTTCAGTTTACCCTGGTGCAGGTGTTTGGCTGCATCAGCAATTCAGCATACATGTACATGTACAGGCGCATTTGCAGCACTACAATCACGCCATAAGCGGATAAAGAACAGTGGAACTTCAATATGAAGGCACCCTGGCCTGGGCAAAACATACCTTTTTTCTGTTCTCTTTCCATCGGATATACGGGTACACACTCGGGGTAGTTTACCGAACTGCACCAAACAGAAGACTTTGCATAATTTTTCAGTCAAACTGCTTTTAATCTCAGCTTTGAATGAATTTCCCATCATCTTTTGATCTCTGCAAAGGATCCTAGGAGTGGCCTTGTAGCTTGGGCTATATAAAGTACTCGTTTAT